TGGAAATAACAAGTCTTGATTGTGAAATGACAAGTTTGGAGTTGGAATTAACAACACGTTTTGTTAGGTACATAACATGTAAATTAATTAAAAAAGACAACAGTTTATTTGGAAATAACTAATCCTAATTGTGAAATAACAAGTCTCGAGTTAGGATTAAAAACACATTTTTTTATACATAACCTATAATTCATTATAAATTAAATATTTTTTATAAATTACAAATATTGTAACTAGTACAATAAAATAGTATTTTTTATAAATAGGAGATAAAGTACTTTTATAAATTATAAATATATAACTAGTATAGTTAAAAAGTATTTATATATTTTTTATAGATTGGAGATAAAATATTTTTATAAATTATAAATAAATAACTAATATAATTAAAAGGGAAAATGACATAAAAAGAAATTGAAAATTGCAATATTCCAATTTAGGCACCTAAGAGGTCAAAATCCTAGGGAAAGAAGTGATGCCTGATTTGGAATTTTACAAATATAGTTAAATGATAAAAATACCCTTGTATCAAAAAGTTTATTGACAAATTATGAACTAGCAATAATAAGTATGAAACAGCAAATGATAAGAAATATATTGATAATAATAAGTTATATATTAATAAGTTATGAACTAGTAATGACAAGCGTTAAACAACTAATGATAAAAAATGAAATGGTAATAATAAGTTTGATAGCTTTTTTTTTAAAAAATATGGTACAATGGCATTTTAGTCATTTGACTACATTTGCAGATTACTAGATCAAGTACCACTTCCTTTCCTGGGATTTTGACCTCTTAAGTGCCTAAATTAGAATATTACAATTTTCAACTTCTTTTTTATGTCATTTTCTAATTAAAAAGTTTTTTTTATATTTTTTATAAAATGGAGATAAAGTATTTTCATGAAATATAACTATTATAGTTAAAAATTATTTTTATATTTTTATAAATTATAAATAATATAACAATTGTAATCTGATGACGTACTGTTAATCCCAACTCAAGACTTGTTATTTCACATTTAGGATTTGTTATTCGCAGATGAAGTGTTATAAATTTTAATTGATTTACATGTTATTTCACATCTGATTTATTAAAAAAATGTGTTGTTAATCCCAACGCAAGACTTATTATTTCATAATTTGGATTTGTTATTTCCAAATGAACTATTGCTACTTTTAATTGATTTATATGTTATGTATTTGGAAAAAATGTGTTGTTAATTCTAATTCCAAACTTGTCATTTCACAATCAAGACTTATTATTCCTATATAAATTGTTGTCATGAACTGGAGCCAAAGCAAATGAGTTCACTTTTTTTTTTTTTGCATAATAAAGTTATAAAAAGCTTCTTGGCTCTGTCATTTTTTTTTTTGCCAACCACCGTGGTTGGGGGATCAAAGCCCCCCAACCTCACTTTCTTCCCCATCTAAAAAACAAATTTCCTCAGCAAAAGCCAAAAAAAAAAAAACCATCGGCACCCCCCCTCACCAGTGGTCGGTGGTTGAGCTCTAGCATCGACAGGCAACTAGCCAGCTGCGGTTGGTCGCTGGTGAGGGGTTCCAAACTTTTTTAAAATATAACCAAGAGACATTTTTGTAATTTTTTTAATTTTAAAATTTCAATTTGGATTTACTTTGTTCTTTGTCATTTTGAAGTATTAGGTACCTGAATTGAGATATCACAATTTTAGGTTTTTTTTTTTCCTATTGAATTGGAAGTCTCAAGCTTCTGTGCAGTTGGACAACCTCTTTAAATAATTTTTAAATATGATGAACTAATGAAAATGATCATCAAAATGTGGCGTTTGACAATGATATTTTGTACATGTTGCAATATCCAAATTAATGAAAAGATATTGTTTGAGCATGAAAGATTTTTTTTTTGGTTACCCAAGATTAATTTTATTTACATATATATCAAGCATTGGATATGTTGGTACTTAGCAGTAGCATAACAAAATATTAATAATAATGTTGTTTGATTCATTGGATAGATCACTCAATCTATCAACCACAAGTCATCAAGGGTTGAAGTGGGCAAATTATTATGAAAAATAGTGATATACATTAAAAACCTATTATTTAAGGACAATGAACTAACTGATACTTTATATTGCAATGACTTCTCAAGGAGGGAAGGCATGAAAATGTTAACTTTGTTATTGATATGAAAACAAGTTCTAAATATCAATGGTAAGTTGGACAAAATTGTCTCAAACAAGAGGATAACTATGAGTTATAATAAAAGAGAAATTTTCAGTGACTTTAGATTGATGAGGTTAGGGAACTTCCAGCTAAAGATAAATGCGGATTAAATTAATTACAACACATGTTACATTAATACTTCATTCATTTAACCACCATTACACATACGCACATGTTCTTGATTGCGTGTTTTGGCAATGCTACTTGTCAATGAGTTCAATTATGAAAGTTAATTTAAACTGGAATTCTTTAAATCTCATTTTCACTGACTAACCATGCTAGGTTATGAATCTCTAAGTGGATTGATTAATTCTTCTGGCATTATTTTCATGTGAGTTGTAAAATGTATAACAACGCCCATGAGTTGTTTAAATATAATATCAGGCCTTGGTGTGTGTGTGTGTGTGTTTGATATGTATTGATTAATGAAAGTGATGATATGCTTAAATATGGGCTTAGAAACATGATTTTAAAATGCATGATCATGACTGTCCAGATTAAGCTGCTTTCATATCATGCTCAATATTTTGTTAAATAACGCTTAGTAAAAGATCTCTAATGACTATGATGATTCTTATGTGCAAACGTCACTTCCTAAGCTTTCCAACAAATCCTATATCAAGGCAAATGGATATGTAAAACATGAGTTATGAATTTTGAAACTCAAAGAACAATTTCTATTAAAACAATAGAGCAAGTTTAAAAAAGAATAAACTGTATCAATATGGACAGGATTAGGCTAGAGTAATATTTTTCTCATGTAAAGGATTTATAGAGATTTCAAATATTTTTATTAGTTATGAATTTTTAAAATTGAACGACAAAACTGGAAAATACCAAATGAATAGTAACCCAAGAATAAAAATACAAAATTTAATTTATGAGTTTTGGTTAATGATTGACCTACATTATAGCGCTTCAAAATGCGTAATAAAGATGTCAAAATGACGGATGTTTCATGAGCTCCACAATACTAATTGTGATTTAATGAAAATAAGGTCCAAAGAATGTCAGAAGAAGAGAAATACAGAAGAAGGCATTAAGAGAACGATTGGAAAATAATTTCCATGACCTTGATCCATATCTTCTTCTCTTTCATTTGGTTTAAACTCAGGTATCTCTAAGTTACTTTAAACATTTCTGTCACGTCTTGAATACTTAGATTTCATTTGGTATGAACTATTAAAAAAGATAGGTATGGATTGGGATTGAGAAAAACCATTAAAAAGTGTTTAGTATGAGTAATTTTTTATTACATGGGATTAGGCAATCCCATATAGGTGGGATTGGAGAAAACCACCTCTCTCCACAGTATTCTCCAATCTCACATATGGGTTGCTTAATCCCAAATAATAAGTAATCATTCGTACTAAACACTTTTTTAACATATTTTTTCAATTGCAATTCTAATTCTTACTTTTTATTTTCAGTACTTCGTACCAATCGGTATCTTAATGCGTAGTTCTCTAAATAAGTACTACCTTCGGTTCTTAATATAAGATCTCGTTTGAATTTTATTTTGATCCTAAATATAAGATCCCAATCCACTTTTTCTCTTATAATTATTTATTTTTTTTCTAAAATAGTCTTTCTAATAATGACAGTTCTAGCCAATAAGCTTTATTGGTGAGGAGATTTAATAACAACAACATTTATTTGTTATAAATAACTAACTTAACTTATTTTTTTAATCTACTCAAATTAGTCAACTAGTTTTTATATTTAGGACCGGAGATTATGCTTCTTAAATTTAAATTCACCATCTCCACTTTATGGTAGTGAGGACATTGCCGCCTCCACCCCTCCATCAACAACTTGCTGGTTATTTGTGTATTCCCCTTTTTGTTTGGGCTCCCTACAACGTATATTCTTTTTATGTAGCCATTACCTCTCCATTTTTTATTCATTCCACCCCTTTCAGCCCAAACTTCTTGGTCCATCATATGCAAGTTTTGGCCCATTTTTGTATCATGACAACATCCAACAAGCGCGGAGTTGTAAATCCCGACAATGCCCAATGCCATTGAATATTGAATAGGAAAAACTTTGCAATTTGTTTCACGCAATCAATAGCAAAGAAGGATTTGTAAAATTTTAAGAAATAATCGTAAAAATGGAAATAATAATTTTAGAAGAACTTATAAAGTTCGAAGAACCATTAACAGGAAGACACATAGGACATTTGGTTAATTTTACATGTTTATGATTAAATTGCAAAAGAGGACTTTTAGATAAAATGTAGTATTTGAAATATTAAAATATTACTAGTATATTCAAACATTGTTAAGACATTAATAGTATTTTTACAGGCTATCTAAGGGTGGCACAAAAAAAAAAACGTTAAATTACGTAAAATCCCATAAACCCTTAACATTTAAAGTTAATAATAAATGTCTCATAGTTTCCAATAAGTGTCAACCTACGCGTACAAGAAAACTAGTGATAGTGGCCTAAAATTAGGCCGTGAACTTGAATTATAAACGTATAAAATTTGCTTCAATATTAATGTGTGTGCGACAAAAAAAGAAGACAAGTTACTTTTAGTATTTCATATTTTTGCATTAATATTAGTTTTTGCCTTTGGTCTTTATTTTTGTTTTTCGAACCATGCCCTCTACAAATTCTGCACTGAGCTAGTTTTGTTCAATATACATTTGCCTATCTCAATAAGATAAAAAAATTAGCCGAGTCACACACGAGTTTAACCAAGTTTGTAATAAGCTTTAAATTATGTGCAAATAATAAACAAAACTAATTTCAGTTAAGTTATTCATAAATGTGACAGTTTGGAGTTTGCTGTAAAGTTTCAGAGATCAAGAAGGCTATCTACACATGACATAAAAATTAGAGAAAGTATGTATAGTTTGGCCAAAAAAAAAAAAAAACACAATCGTTATCAAGGTCACCAATATCTTGCAACTCTTGCGTGAGCATGTGACAGATTACAGAATTACGAGATAGTTAACTACCAACAGCTAGTCAATAAAATCTCTTCGCAGTATTGAATAAATCTTAGTGTGCCGAGGCTGTTGGTGCATCCGATTTTGATTGTGACAAATTCTTTATACAAGGCCACCGATGGCCTGCCCGCTAGCACGGAAACTGCCGACATAAATCATGAGTGATCTGCTACTTTCTCCATCAAAGACCAGTTTCATTAGTTACTAATTTCCAGTGGTAATTGAATAATTTGAATGTTCCCTTGTACACACTTACACATCATAGCATTGCAACAACGCGAAAAGCTGTTAATCGACAACATAGTTTGGAGCCACAGCCAGGATCCGGTCATTTCTGGAGATTGATGTCACGTGCTCCGCACCTGCGGCCTCCGATGCTGCTTGCCTACCATCATCTAGCACTATCAAATGGCCCTCCCTTCTAATCAAACTCTGCAGTACAAGTGTTTTGTTCTCGTTAAACATGCGACATCTGTCTGCATGTTAGTAAATAAATTCTGGGAAGCATATAAAGTGAATGTGTACCTCTATAATAGCTTTAATTTTGGTAATTTCCGCAGCTGCCTCCTCCATTGAACTATAAGTATTTTTTCATTTTGCTGGCTCACATACCACTGGATCAAATCCCGTTGCCTCATTCCAGCCAAACCAGTTCCTGAAATTAAAAGCCCATGGAAGTTTAACATTTCAATATAGTACCTAAGTGGACACCAGGAAAGGGAATATAGCTAAACTCATGGAAATAGATTAGATCAATAAGCCAGCAGCATTTTGAGCGATTCTTTCGTATTTAGTATTTACATGCCAAAGGGAAAAATTTTGTACTGCTCACCTTCTTGTGCAACAGTTTCTTCATGCTGTCTAAGGCGCATAACAAGGGCCTGGGTAACTCTCTGGAAAATATTCATCGCTTATAATAAGTATTTTTCTCATTTTGCTGGCTCACATAACCACTGGATCAAATCCCGTTGCCTCATTCCAGCCAAACCAGTTCCTGAAATTAACAAGCCCATGGGAGTTTAACATTTCAATATAGTACCTAAGTGGACACCAGGAAAGGGAATATAGCTAAACTCATGGAAAGAGATTAGATCATTAAGCCAGCAAGCATTTTGAGCGATTCTTTCGTATTTAGTATTTACATGCCAAAGGGAAAAATTTGTACTGCTCACCTTCTTGTGCAACAGTTTCTTCATGCTGTCTAAGGCGCATAACAAGGGCCTGGGTAACTCTCTGGAAATATTCATCGCTTAATAAGCTTCTTGCCTTGTTGAGGGGTAGGACCATCTGCTGCATCCTCTGGAAATATTCATCATCTTCAGTGCAGATATTCCTCAAAAGTATGGTCATTTTAAGGTAAAGTGGGTACATGAAACCTCACCTTTAGTTCCATCATCTTTCTGTTCTGTAGTGCTTCCTCCTTGATCATCAGCATCGTTTCTGCTATCAGGTCCATCATCACCACCCAAGCTGTCATCTCGGTTTTCTTCTTGAAATTCAGACAGATCAATTTCGCTGGACTCCACACTGCAGACAAGGGGGAAAAAAATACAGTTGTCAACTTCAAAAAGCAATTAGCATAACAACTGGGAAACAAGCAATTATTTTTGTGAATACACATGGTAAGTAGTAGAAAGAGATAAAGGAGATTGGAAATGAGAAGATATAAAGATGATGATTAAGCGTAAGCGAAAGCAAATCATAAGGTATATATTGTTGATTGTCATCTTGCCTTATTATGGACGTGCTCAGCAGTCTAACCGCTAGACGAACATGACGAGGTTGCACCTGCAAAAGGCCAACTTTAGCCCAGAAAAGCCAAATATGTAATGCTAAATGGAGGTAGGTAAGTTCAAAAATCATGTAGCACCTGAGTTTCCAAATGACAACGTGCAATGGCCTCAGAGAGCCTGATTAATGCCTCCAACTGCCTAACAGTCATGCGATATGCAACCCTACTACCAGGGTTCATATCTCCTCTCCGAAGGGCCACATAAGAGTCTACTAATAGTTGTCTGGCATCTGGATTGAGCTGCATTAATCAGGCTATGTAAGAAAGAAGCACAAAATTCATATAAGCAAGTGGTCTCAAAGGCAAATAATTCATCAAACCTTTGGTTTGAGAGTTTTTGCATAAGCTATATATCGCTTCAGTTCTGCTGTACTGAATGATGGAGTCAGAGCTTCTTCGCGCTTTTGATGAACTCTCACAATGTGATGGGCTATGTGGTAATCTGTCTGATCATCTGGGTCATCAATCATAACATATACCAGATCGAACCTTGATAAAATAGCTGGTGGAAGGGCCACGTTATACTGAAAAGCAACTAGAGTAATTAGGCCTTTCCATTCAGAAGAGAGGAGCAACGAACAATGATTTTCTTTCTATCAGAAACTGGATAACTTACTTTGAGTGGTTTAGACTTGTCATATCGTCCCCCTGTAGGGTTGGCGGCTGCAAGAATGGAAGTACGTGCATTAAGTGTGGCTTGTATTCCTGCCTTGGTGATACTAATTGTCTGCTGCTCCATGGCCTCATGAATTGCTACCTTCAATTCATTCAAGTATGAGATACTTCCCTGTTCACGGCCACAGGATACCAAATCAAAAAATTATGCTTATTACCTGATCTCTGACATCCATCTTGTCAAATTCATCAATGCAACAAATGCCATTGTCAGCAAGCATCAAAGCACCAGCCTGGACAAAAGTTATTCAAGTATCAGAAAACACATAGTTGAAGATAGTACCTAATATCATCAAGCAATCCAATAAAAATATAACATAATATTATAAAAAGGAAAAATCATACTCATTTGCTGCACCTCCATGCTTTATTAAGGTAGCATACCTCAGTCCATATTATTACACAAAATAATTAACATGTCACTTTTGTATGAGATGTTAACATAAAATTCTAATTGCCCATGATATCATGCAAAAGATAAGAGTAAATAACACGAAGATCAAGAATGGGTAGACAGACATCTGAAATACAAGCATAAAATCATGAGAACTGAGAGGATCTCAAATCCTCATTCAATAATTGATTCTAGTGCATATGTCGTATAATATCTTGCCATTTCTTGTTTTTGTTTTCAAGCAACTAAATCTCCAAAGCTTATAATATGCACAACCAATTAATAGATTTCATAATTCCCTCGTTTAGTCTAACTTTAAACTAGGCATGTGGAATGCTCATCTTATATGCCACTATAAACTAGAGATTCCATGATATTGAAGGTAGAAAACCAGTTATGAATTTACAAGATTATCCCAGCATACCCTAATCCAGCCGCACTAACTTCTTAATTTCTAAAGAGTACAAAGTAGCAACAGACTGTATTTACCTCAATGCAAAACTCCCCAGTTTCAGGCTCCTTGGCAACTGTTGCAGTCAAGCCAGCAGCAGAGGATGATTTTCCAGATGTATACACAGATCTTGGAACTATGCCAGCAGCATATCTAATAATCATAGATTAGCACGTATTAGCCACTCAATTGCATAAATGATACAATAGAACCAACATACATAAAAGGAGAAGTACTTGAGAAACTGAGACTTGGCGCAACTAGGATCCCCAACAACACAAACATTAATATCTCCTCTTAGATTGATGCATTCATGAGTAAATTTATGTACTCCACCCATTAGCATAAGAAGGATTGCTCGCTTGATATCTTGGTGACCAAAGACAGTTGGTGCTATGCTGGAAACAAGTTTGTTAAAGAAATCTGGAGTGTTCCTCATTCTCTTAACTTCATCAAGCTCCTGTGTCTGTAATATAAGACAGCCAAACAGAGGGTCATAATCAACCTTTCCAAGACAAAGAGGAAATATGCACTAGTCTTCTTCTTCTTTTATAACCACGTTATTATTGTTTAGTTTTTTTTTCATACACGTTCTATACATGTAGGAAAAATAATTATGATCAGAGATGCTGCAGCAGGTTCCTGATTGAGAAGCATACAAAGAATACATTTTGTTCACTGGAACCAAAACTAATTTACGTATCTGAAATTAGCAGATTCATTTACTAGCATAGAAAACATTGTGATGCAGACATACAGACTAGAATACTGGGAACAGGAACTGAAAAAAATGAGGATGAGAATTTTTAAAGCGTAATTATAAAGGGAAAAAGAAAATCAAGCTCATTTACTAAATGCAATTAAAGATAAGTCAAGCCATATGAAGATACAAAGGTGCATGCAAGAAAATAGCATCATGTACTGACTGTATATTGCTGCTCTTCGCCATCCGCATCCTTCTTTCTATTCCTGATGTCTGTCTCTCTTCTTCCATCACATATCTGTAGACCAAGAAATTAAGAAACACATCTTATATTAAACCAAACCATGTGAAGATGTACAGATCCATTAACAACCTAACCTGAACAGAGTTGGCAATAAACCTAAGTCTGAACAGAGTTGGAGCCAGTCGATACCCTGACTCCCAAAGCCCTAAGACCCCGCACACCTTCAGTTCCAACTGAAGAACTCTTGCGTTGAGAAGCTTCTCGGCGGCATTCAGCTCTCTCTCCAGGAGACGCCAATGCCAATATATCAGGTATGACAACCACAGTCCCTGTAAAAATCACCCTGTAGGAAGACAGAATAAGAATGGATATGACTTCAATCAGGTAATAATTACCCTGCAATTTCACTAACTCAGAATATTTAAGGCATCGGAAGTCTTACGTGTCACCAGCTCTGGCCTGTTCCACAATCTCATGACGCAGAATAACATCTAATGACCTAGGAAGAGATCCCGCAGGTATCTCTTTAGATGTCTCCTGCATTCTTACCCTCTGCCAGTCAGTAAATTTGCTCTCTTGCCGCAGCAATGCCCACCTTGCCCCCTTTAAACAGGTTGCATTTAGACAGACCGCTGGCTGCAAGAGCATGCAAATTAGACAGTGGTAGTCAAAGGATAACTAAGGAAACAGTTGATAACAGAGAACAATAATTTATAACCTAAATCTAAAGTAAAATGCATAAAAATTCATTTATTTTGAATTTTATTACACCAACTATGTTTTGATCAATTATCTGTAATTCACCTCAGTATACTTGAATTGCTGTTCAACATTCTTTACAATCCCACCACATTCTAAGCACTTGAAAGTTCCCTGGAGAAGCTCAGGTCGAACCTCACTTGTCCGTGTCACCACTCCGGTCACAGACACCAGTTTTCCAATTTCAGCTGTAGTAAGTTCCCTTAACCTGAAAGTTTTGAAATTAAGGGAATAAATGAGAACAGCTGACGTTAGAGTGAGCAGCAACAATCCTAGAAGAAACCAGTGCACTGTGTGCAGTCTACTGGTGCAGAAAGGCTAACAGTACATCGTTCAATTTGGTTCCTATAGAAAATTTACTCACACAGGTTGGAAGTAGGTATAACAAATTGAAGCAACAAAAAGCCCAAAAACTGCAGATTTTTATTTAATACACACACTGACCAAACAATCTACGAAAATATGTGTTACTCCTGTTACCAAATTCTTTTTCTCATGGCTATACGTGTGACATGGAGGGTACCGAAAACCTAACAGCTTCCAAATTTGGTTCATACAAGGGGACAAACAGGTTAACAGGAAAAGGGTAAAAATAATAGAAAACAGAAACTTTACCTCCTAACGATTGGGATGTTGAAGAAAGCAATGTTTATGTCTTTGTGAGGGTTATCGTCAGATATGACGGTTGGCTTCGAGTCCATAACAAACCTCTTGCAAGCGTTCTTCAAATAGGGCTCAAATCTATCACAGTAAATTATTGGGCTCAGAATATGAAGGGCAATTTCATAAATCGCGAAACACTTGGGGTTTCATTAAAAATGCAGAAAGAACAGAACCTCAAGTATTCATCAGAGATGGCTTTCTGAAGAAGATCGTTATAAAGAATGACATGCGAGAAATCGATGAACATCGTGTTGGATTCGTTGGCTCTCATTGTTTCAATCTCCGCTTCGTAATATGGCTCTCTCTGCTGGCCGACCCGGAAGCTGATTTTCCCAGAACAAATGAAAAAAATTAGAATCAGAATTGGAAGGGGGAAAAAATAACTCAAGAGACCTTCAAATTAAATTAAAGAGAACCAGAGTGAGAAAACAGAACAAGAGAAGAGACCTCTTCAGAAATTCAAGGAAAGCATCCTCAACCCGAGCAGCTTTCTCATCCACCAAGTACCCACCGTATGCTTCCATTTCCGTCTCTTTCCTCAGCACAAGACACCTTCTTCACAACGGATACTGCTTCTTCTTACTCTTCCTGATTCTTAGAATCTGGATTCCGCCTCACTCCAAATGGGATCTCGCTGTATTATTGGCGGGAAAAAGACGAAAGGCGCCCAACGGTTTCCCGCCAAAAGCAGTGGTTTCCGGGTCACAGGCATGGGCTTCCAGTTCTAACGGGGCAGTACCCGATGCTATTTTTCCTTGCCGTGTTATTTATTTTCATTCTCATTGGAACAAAATGATAAGAATGAATAAGTAACGAAAAGGAAAATTGTGAAAGGAGTCACATAGGAATATAAATAATATTATAATATAACAGAATTCAAAAATAAATAGTATTATAATTAAATGAATTCAAATTTAATTATATTCAGCTTTTAGTTTTCTATATATTTGATAATAGTGAAGAATTTAATTTTGTGCAATTGCACACAGTAGATGATATGTTACACTCACGGATCATACTTATACTTGCACAATTTCAGGTTCTTCTGGCCAATTAAAATTTTAAACAAGGATTTTTTTATACCAATTTTCCCTTAATAAGATGATTAGAAAGGTTAAAGAATTAGCTAAAATCTAAGAAAAATAAATAAAGCATATTTTTTAGTAACAGATCAAGAAAATTTAAAAAAATACCTCTCAAATTTTAAAATTCAAAATCAGTCTTATTTACTACATATTAATAGTAATTGAATGCACTTGAAAAGCAAACAACAACACATTTATATAATAATTCCTGATTTAAAATTTTAAAATTGAAGAAGTATTTTTTTAATGGATTTTCCTAAAGAAATTCAGGAAAATAAAGAAAGAAATAATTATAAAAAATATATAAATGCACAAAATGATTAAAAAACTATAGATAATTATTTTTGGAGATAAATGAGTTTATGGAAGAGCTTATTTGCCAAAAAGGGGTAGAAATAATTTAAAACTTAATTTCATAAATAAAAGGCTTATTTTCTTGAGAAACTCAAGAAAAATGGATAGATGTTAATTTTTAGCCTGAAAACTCTAGGAAAATTATTTTATAAGCTTAGGAAGCTAAATGAGAAGAAAATTCTTAATTATTAAATAACTAAATTTTTATAAGAATGAGAAATTTATTAAAGTGCAAAGTGGGATAAGAATGATAAATCTTTGAAATCTTTGATATTCCAACTATTTTCTTAGGCTGCTGTTTTCTTATTTTTTTTTCCCATTCTATATCAACTTTAAAATTTATAATTAATTTTAGAAAAGTTAGATTGAATTGATTTTTGTTTCATATTAAAGTTCAGAACAAAACTGAAATTGCCTGATGAACTTCACTCATAACTATCCAAAATTTTCTTAATCACTTGGGTTTCACAATAACTTCAATATGTCTTCAATTCACCTGCTTTGGGACTTCTTATGAAGCTCAACAAATCCACAAGCAACTATAATCTCATGCAAAAACATGAGCAAAACTTATTCTGCCTAACTTAAACAGACTCGAACCTTGCACATAATTGAAATATGTAATAATCACCACAGACCTTTATACACACACCACGCAATGCTTCTATACGGACAAAACTTAGATCTATTTTCCCGTATCCATTAGATTTAGTTCTCTAACCAAATTTCGTCATATGTATTTTTTTTAATTAATAATGGTCCAATAAAGTATTTAAATTTTATTCTTGTGGTTTCTTATATTATAAAGTAAAGTCTATACATTAAATTAAAATTTGATCAAAAAATTGGACATAGTGGATATATGCAGATAAAAAGTTTATCTTGCAGAATACACTTAAGAATCGGTACAATATTTATCACATGGGTTATTCATGTCGTATTAGATGTAAGGGTAGAAAAGAGTTTCCATTCAATCGCTATTCCCCAGAATTCCTAAGCCGCATCTGAATTGCAGTTCGCATTGAATCAGAGTTCCTTTCCACGTTGAGTTGCACTTCTCAATTTCACCATAGATTCTCATCCATTTTCTTATCAAAATGCCATTTATACCTCAATTCATTTCATCCTCCCCGTCTCAATCTTTTCATGGATTTGCCCAAGGTTTGTGAACCTCGATCAAGTTTATACCATAGTTTGATGGAGTTAAACCTCCAGCTATGAGTGGTTGAGCGTCTCCAGCTCTTGGATTGGAAATTAGTGGAGTATCTGAGCCTGTAGTTCTTCAAGGGAGTAGCCACCAAGCCTGAAGCCTTTCATTCACTTTCTTTGTATTCGCATTTGTAGTTTCTAAATTAGGAGCGGTGATTTGCGAATTGAGGAGTGTGTATGGATTGATAGACATGTTTTCATTGACTTGTAAATTAACTCTGTTGTGAGCAAATCTCTAGGATTCTACGGTGTTTGGTTTCACCTCTTTTTTATGGATCTTGAAATCAATTGTTTTCATAATTATATGCATGATTTCACAATAAAAAAAATCTAACTTTTGGTGATAACTTTTAGCAATAACTCTAAAAAGTTGTTGTTGAAATTTAACTTTCAATTGCGACAAATATTTTATAAGGATGAGACATATAATTAAGTTTATGTTCTAAAGAGTGATCTAAGTTTGCAATAGGACTAATTCACATATGAGGTAATCATAAACGGTAATTAAAGGCTTGAACACTTGCTAGGATTATAGAAAATGCTTAATACTTGATTGACATTAATTTTTATGGCAGATTTGGCAAATTCATTTAACTTAATGGAAGGTGTTACTCCAAGCATTTGAGAAGCTAGGATGGTACCCCTAACCCAATCCAAGAGTTGATGCATTCATCTATTCATTTGACTATTCCACTTAAACACTAAGAAACTCAAACCAGTAATTTAGTTATTGTTTTTATTATTTTTACATAGGTTAATTCAACTAGACATAATTGGTATCCAACTTGGTTAATTTCGGATTCTTTGTCCAAATTTATTAATAAGTAGAAACAATCAGGTTTTTTGAGAAAAGAATGACCTAGGTTACTCCTATTATATAAAGCAGTGACTTTGTTTTATTAATTGAGTGCATTAACAATAATGAACTTTGAGTATAAGCATTACATTAATAATCTTTTTGCCAATATTCATTGCCAATATAGGTGAAAATTAGTGGAAATATAGAATAACTAGGAAACTAAACTTAGGCAAACTATACTATTGCTCCATTGATATCACATGGTTGGAAAAGTAATCAAAGAAAATATGAACAATTGTGTTTTTGCATCTAAAGTGTGAAAAAATATTTAGAAAACTTTAATGCAAAATGCCAACACTCTTTTAGTTTGAGCCAAATCAAGTAAAAGTTCAATAAGTTGCGCACGTTTTTCCCCGTTGTTACAATACACTAGATTCATTTGTGCTTAAACAAATATAGTCATGACTAATGAGGAGGTTTGGAAGAACTATGTTGCAGTATGTAACGATATATATTGATGTGAAGAGCCATACATTTTTTTGGCCAAAAAAGAACTTCAATTATAATAAAACGTGGTGCAACTCCCCTACTATTCAAGTGAACATCCAAACACCAAACAGCTCAACAAAACTACTAAAGAAGTTAAAAGAAAACATTAACCATGATCAGGATAACAGTATGTCCATCTTGATCCAGAAGGTGCCTAAGAGCATGAGGTAGCCTCTAGACCCAATTGTGGGACGCAACCCAACAAAGAAGCTTTGTACAATCTAGTCTACAAGAGTGATTCCTAAGGAGTTTCCTTGACAAACCAAAATTATTCTTGATAATATCACATCTCCAATCGGGGGAGATGATTGATTGTTAACACAATCAATTAAAATTTTGTTATCTGATTTGAAAAGGACATCATCAGGTTGATTCTCGATGGCATGGTTAAAAGCTTCTTGCAATGCAGCTCCTTTAGCAAAAAGAGAAGACTCATCTTGAATCATCTCCTCCATACCATCGAAGAGAAAGCCATTACAATCACGAACCACAATTGCAATAGACCCTCTGCCATCAAAATTACTCATGGTTACTCATAGCATAATTAACAATACTCTTAATAGAGTTTCCAACAGGAGCAGACCATTTAGTATTATTACACCTAGGCCATGTTTAATACGAAGTATTAAAAATAGGGATAAGAATTGATATTGAGATTGAAAAAACCATTAAAAAGTATTTGGTATGAGTAATTTCTTATTACATTAGATTAGGCAATCCTATATAGGTGGGATTGGGGAATACTACCTCTCTCCATGCTATTTCCCAATGCCATATATATATGGATTTGTTTAATCCCAAATAATAAGCAATCCTTCATGTTAAACACTATTTTAATATATTTTTTTAATTGTAATCCTAATCTTTATCTCTCATTTTCAGTGTTTTGTACCAAATGTGTCAAGTGCCGAAACATAAGGGATGACCAGCACAAAATATAAGAGAACTCACATTCCTTAAGATTTAAAGCAATTAAATAATTACCCCACTTAATAATGTTATTATCACTAAATCAAACATATAAAAATATTTATTGTATTTGTACAAAAACATACATTGTAAAATAATAAAAAGGATAGAAATTTGCATATAACTAACTACATGGAGCATTTAAATCATAAAAACAAAACAAGTGTAATTTTAAATTTACATCAATCAGTAGGCATACTCAATCAATTTACAAGCTTTGATTAACAATGAAACGCCTCTCCTATCAAGGTCGGCAATGCTCTCTAAGGCCAAAAATTTTTTCCAATGAATAATGTACCATTAATGAGAACAAGACAAAGCACCGCTTCAAAGAAAAATTGTGCATGTATTGTTTTGTAAAATAAATGATTAACGGCTATTTATAACTCTAGTAAAGTATAAAAGAAAATATATAAATGATTTTCAGTAGATAAAATTTACTAAACATTAAAACAACTTATGTATGAAATCTAATCATGTAATAGTGTGAAAAACTTTTTTTAATTGAGGACTTCGACAGAACACACAACAAGTGTGGGTCTACGAAGGCAAGTAACCAACAAGTATGGCTGAAGCCGTGAATACAAGCGCAGGAACGATGCCCATGAATATAAGCGAGCTTGGTGTTAACCAT